CTTGGTGAGAGCAAGTCTGGATGCATTGTGTCACCGTGTTGTACCACATGCCTTGGTGAGAGCAAGTTCATGGGGTATAAATACGAGTGTCTCACGTATCTAGACGTGTACCATGCTGCACTGACGAGGCGTTGAACGCCGAAACATGCATGTCTGCAGATTGTACTATTACGCTCCTTCACTTCGGTGTTGTTGAGCATTCTGCGGAGTTGTTAATGGGTGTCTATTAGCGATAATGCAAAGCTCACTTTCCTCTTGGTCGTTTGAGCACTCTGGCCCCATTACGCTCTGCGCATGTCTGGATGCATTGTGTCACCGTGTTGTACCACATGCCTTGGTGAGAGCAAGTTCATGGGGTATAAATACGAGTGTCTCACGTATCTAGACATGTACCAAGCTGCACTGACGAGGCGTTGAACGCCGAAACATGCATGTCTGCAGATTGTGATATACAGTTATATCAACACGAGTGGAAATTGGGAAAACGAGAAATTGTAAAATAGAGCCTGACTGATACTCAGGTTAAGTTAAGTGCTGATCAAGCCAGACAGTGTCAGGCAGATATAGTTCCCCGTCGACCTCATCTTGGCCGATCTGACGCCTGACTGGAGACAGTATTAGTTCTTTCAAAGCATTATTTCGTTTTTTCAAAACATAATTTCTTTTCGCTTGAAAAATTTGGAATGTCTCTTTGTTCTTTTCAGACAAAAAGTGTGCGAATCGGACTACGTATAATTTATTGTAGGAGTGCAATAAGTGTAGAAGAAAACCAAAGTCTTTATCCACTGTTAAAGTATCAGTCATCACATTTGCTCGCGGCGAAGGCAAACGTTTCTTTTTAAAGTCATATTCAAATTTGTTTTTACCTCTTCTGTAAAACGTCCATGCAATGGTAAAAATAAAAATGGCAAAAGCAAATGCTAACGTTGGAAGATATACCACTTTCAATCCCCAATCATAGGTAGGCGCCAGGTTATGTGAACAAATGAAATAATCATGAGCCACAGGGATGTGTTGATTAAGTGTACAGGTCATTGTTCCTTTTAAATCCTTCATGAAGTAAATATCAAAAACGAAGGATGCGATCGCGAATGAAGCTTGAAGTGCAGTTTGAAACAAATATAACTGCCATATTTTCTGAGACGATTCAACATTTTCCTTGAATGTATGTACCTTTTCATACAAAGTTTTAACCGCACTGATAGTTGCAGGATCCTGTAAGACATTGAAATTGTAAGGTTGGTTACCATCATTGTTAGAGGCGGGCATTTCTGCAGCGTCGGTATCGCGCGGTTGATCAACTGCATGACGTCTTGAAGAATTCT